CTTTCTAGTGTAAATTTCGTTCTCCTCTAAATGACGCGTGAGTTTGCTTTGTAAATTTAAATTTCGTTTTCTTTTAATAATGCATTAGCTTGTTAATTTTAATTGAAATTTAATTTTTGGTTAGGTGGGTAGGAATAAATCTTGTATTCATGGAAAATAATAATAATAATTAGTTATGCATTAAACAGTTTTTAAATATATATATATATATATATATATATATATATATATATATTTATTAATGTTATAATATTAAATTAATATATTTTTGATTGATGAATCTGAATTAAATATTTATTTAATTTAATTAGATTCATTAAGAGTTGGAATGCATGTTTTAAGTGTACATGCTAAGTATGGAATTTAATTAATTTTAGAAAGGATAAATTAATTAAATATTGTTGGATTAAATTAGTTTAATCAATTGTTTAGATTTAAATTAATTTAATGAGTACATGGGGATGTACAATTTAATTGAGATGCATGTTAAATTCTTGTGATGTAAATTAAATGCATGCTAATTAGAATTGATATTTTTGCTGAAATAAATGCAAAGGACGTGTATAAGATTTATATCATATTTATTTGGTTTCTTAGATGTCAAAATATATATATATTTACATTATCCTTGGATTGGAAACTGTTATTTGGATATGTTATGGATTAATGCACCATTATGGGATGGGGGCATATTAGGGACGGATTAACTTACGAGTTAAGTCCTACCTATTTTTAATAAGGGAACGGATTAACCATAGTGTTAAGTCCTACTTAGTCGTGTCAGGTCAACGGAATAGTTGGATGACATAATATTGAAATAATAATTGGATAGTTTATTTTTGATGGTTGGATAGGACGGATTTTAAATATATAACTATACACCATGATATGAGCTTGAGTCTCAGGATCAGTGGTTAGGGTGCGTATATTGCCAGGGATGTGTAGCTAGATATAGCGTAGTTGTGTACCCTGGTAGGTCTAGGTACTCATGCCCACTATATGTGCGTTTTGCATGTTGCCTACTATTCAGGTTGAGACAACTCTATAGTCTAGTGAGGTTCCTTTAGTGTGTGTATATATCTATATATGGACTATTTGGTTATTGTTGAATTAATTAGGATGTGTACGTGTATCGGGTCTCTGTTTGGGATGTAGTAGATTAGAACTTGTATGTGGGCCTGACCCACCATTATTTTTCAGGTGTTCGTCAGTTCCAGTCTTAGAGATTGTTCGTGCCGAGCAGAGACAGCTATTCATTCTTCCGACTCTACGTAGGACTCTTCTTCATTAGTAACTTATTATTTTTTCGATTCAGTTATGTCAGTTAGGATATTATTAGGGGTCCACAGTATGGATTCCCGAGTTGTAGTTTAATTAATTACTGGTATCAGAAGATTGGAGGATTTTATTATGGAATTTTAATCATTATTTATTTGAGGATTTTTAATAAGAATTTATTATTTAGTTTTCCTTTCAGCTTATCTGTTTCTTTTTAATTCATCTTGTGTTCCAATGCTTGTTTAAATATTAATTGTTTGATATTCCTTGTATTCTGTGCTCGGACTTGATCACCCGTGGCTCTAGAATCGAGGAGTATCACAGATAGTAAATGAGTGTTCTGTATTACAAGGACCCCGGCTGAGTGAATCCCGTAATCTGTATCCCCGTACTATAAGGGAATAGTAAATGAGTGTCCTGTATTACAAGGACCCGGGCTAAATGAATCCCGTCATCCATATCCCCGGACTATAGGGGATAAGTATCCTGTATTATCAGGACCCGGACTGAATGAATCCCGTAATCCATATCCCCGTAATATAAGGGATAATAAATAAATGTCCTGTACTACAAGGACCTGGGTTGGATGAATCCCGTAATTAATATCCCCTTACAATAAGGGATAGTAAATAAAAATCCTTTATTAAAAAGGTGAGCTGAGTAAAACTCGTAAAGTTCAATTCTCTTACTAAAGGGACGAGCTGAGTAAAACTCGTAAAGTTCAATTCCCTTATTAAGGAGTGAAACTCATATAATTTATTCCTTTATCAAATGAAGAGTACTGTTCCCTCAGGTGCAAAAAAAAAAAAAAAAAAAAAAAAAAAAAAAAAAATCCTGAGTTACTATTCAATTGAATAGTGCCCACGAGAATAGTACCCACGGGTACTGTTCACAGCGGTATTAAAAAAAAAAAATCCTGAGTTACTATTTACGTGAATAGTACCCGCGGGTACTGTTCACCAGGGTTGAAAAAAAAAAAATTTATTATTATTATTTATTACATTCCCAAAGCTAGACGTGCAAATTTGGGAATGGGGGGCAACTGATAGGGAAAAATATAAACCTACCCTACCCTCGATAAGATTGATTAGATTTCATTATCAAGGATAATGAAATCAAATCTGACGTGTTTCAACAGGTAAGAATAATCCTACTATAACTGGAGGAGGTCAAAAGGATTAAATCATATCCCGACAAATCTGGCAATAAATCTCCTATGATTTCGCACAAGCGGAAGATAAGATCAACCATCGACATCAGCGGAACGATTTTGATTCCAATCGAAAGCCATAAATAGGGCATCAAGCCATTAAAGAAGGCACGACGTAAAAATTATGATTAATCCCTGCCTTCTTTTTAGACCTCCGTGACTAATTTGATCGTCGGGGAGCTCTTGGCAGGCACCACATCGGTGCCGTCAAGGTTCATCGATCTTTTCCTCTCTTCCTTGTAGGAAAACGGTATCATATCGGAGTACGCGAATTTCAGCCTCAACACTTCCATTGCACGAAATCCCCGACTTTAAATCCCACAACTTGCTTGTACCTTTTCAGCCGAACAAACCAAAGGGGAGATAGAGATGAGAGAAGGATGAATTCATCTCCATCACACAAGATCAGAAAAGATAAGGAAAAAAAAACAAAAAAAAAAAAAAAGCAAAAACCAAACCCAAATCAGTGGAATGGACAAAGGATAAGAAAGGGGAAAATGAATGAGCCACAGAACACTTCTTTTTTTCCTAACCCAACCTTCTGTTTTAGATGTTATTACTCTTTTTTGTTGGTGTGATTAGTATTGGCCCCGGTAAAGAGTTTGTGTCGGATGACTAGTTAAAGAGTTAAGTCGCAAAATCCTTCGCAACGGGCGTCGCTCTCATGCGCTTCTGCTTTCACGCTCGCGCACGTTCTTGCTCAAGTTTTCACTATTTGTGATTTAATTTTGTCGTTTTCGCACTCCCGCTCTCGAATTCGCTCCCGCTCTCGTTCCCACTTTATGTGACTTAAATTAAAAGTTTGTTTTGGTTATTACTATTTTAAACTTATACCTCATCACATGATAATCTACTTACAATTTGATTTCCAAACCAAAGTTCTCATTGGCTAATAGTACAATTACTTAATCTTAATCAAAACTAAGGTCAACAAAGATATTAGTTGAATATATAATATATTTAAGAAAATAGAACTAATCCATTGAACAAGAGGAAAAGAACAAGGAAGTTTAATATTTACAATATTATAGGACATGTATATAAATGATAATTAAAAACAAAACTGGATCATTAATGTTTAATAAAGTACAAAAATATTAGGCTGTTATCCCTTCTCTTAAAATTACTGCAATTCTATCTCTTTATGTTTATTGGTGCCCAATTGGTCCCACAAACTTTTGTTAAACAAAATAAAAGGAAAACTCAAGTCCACGTTGCTGATAAAATTAACAAAATAAAAGGATGACTCAAGTCCTGTCAACCTTTATTCTCTCTCGTTCCCTACCAATAATGGATGTTTTTTTTAAAAGGTTGCTTCATAGTTCAAGGAACCAAGCAACTTTGAATCAGTCTTTCTTTCTTTCTTTTTTTCTTTTTTTTTTTTTTTTCTTTTTTTTTTTTTCCTTTGTATACAAACAAGTTTGATTTACTGATAATATGAATCAATAATTTATTGGAACTCAGTCCATCCATTTCCAAACTCTGTGTACAGGGATATGCAAAGTCAACCATTTTAGTTTAGAGAACAATGACATATATAGTACTAATTAATGAATTCACAACAACTTTATTACTAATGAAGTATGGTACATGGGAAATAAAATATTACCTCTCTAATTTTTTTATTTATTGTTTTTTTGATTTTGTAATTGATTATATGTGCATTTGTACTCTAAGTAGAAATGACATACTTACCGGTGATTAAATAAGTCTTGTTTTATATATTAAGTATTTTCATACTCTTTTTAAAAAAGTAAATTATTGAAAAAAAAGAGAGTAAAAGATAATAAAATAGAAATAAGCAAATTGGGAGAGAGAGGAGTGCTACTAGTGAAAGAAACTCAAAATTGAATTCTAAATAAATTACTTATTTAGTATTAAAACTTATTACAAATAAAATAATAATTAATTATCAAAATTAGAGAAAAAAAATATATTATTAAAAAAATAATTATTAATAATGTACTAAAATTTTTTGTACTTTTAATAATATATAGTATAGATATAATTAGATTTAAAAGAGTATTGTGTATGAATTGCACGTCTAATTTTTAATCAAAATTTAATTCTAAATAAATTACTTATTTAGTATTAAAACTTATTACAAATAAAATAATAATTAATTATCGAATTTAGAGAAAAAAAATATATTATTAAAAAAATAATTATTAATAATGTACTAAAAATTTTTGTACTTTTAATAATATATAGTATAGATATAATTAGATTTAAAAGAGTATTGTGTATGAATTGCACGTCCAATTTTTAATCAAAATTTATTTATAATTATATTAAACCAACTTAATTTGACCAAATTAAGCTGATATAATTTATTTTAAAATATTTTAAACTGATTTTTTTTTTTTTACAATGAGATAACTTTTAACAAGGGCCAACATAATAACGTAACTATAGAACTTTTTACTCAAAATATCAAATACCGTTCATGCCAATCAAATGAGGTTGACCACAGGATAGCCTTGCTCAATAAATAAATAGAGTGGGGCTTAGCAATTCAACCAATGGCGCTATATTTCAACCCTCTTCATCACGGAATCAAACGCTATCGATAATTCCTCAAGAACTCGCAGAGAGACAAAAAGAGATAAACACAGTTTATTGTAAGTTTCTTCATCAGCAATTCGTTAATTCGATGTATTTCTGATGTTCTTAAGTGTTTCTTCAGCAATACTGATCGTTTCAAGTGTTTAGTCTTCGCAGAGTCCGAGTTCTCGTTCACCCTTATAATCCCATCTATGTATGTTGTATGGATCTTAGGGTTTCTGATTTCTTTTGATACCCATTTGATCGACCATTAAATTTATAGTTTTTGATTGATATTTTGATTTATTCTCAATTTGTTTTTTTCAAATTCAGGTTTTTGACTTTTTATTTTTGAAGTTATTGTTGATTTACATTATAGTTTTAATTTGTTCTCTGGTGTTCTTTTGATGGGTTCTTAGTGCTTTTCAGTTGTTCCTATTGAATCTAATTAGGGTTGTAAAATTTTGGAATTGGGCTCTGATCACGTGCTTAGTCTGCAGTCCCAAAATAAGGGTTCTTATAACTTTAACAAAATCTAATATATTTTGTTATATCTTAATAGTAATAATGGAATCGCACTCGTGAACATTTGAGTCTCTCATTGCAAGATCCCCAATTGCAAGGGCTTTTGGCAGAGTTTGATTTGACTTTGATATTCATGTACAATTGTACCCTATCCCATTAGGAGAATATTATGTTTGACTATCTTGGATTCTTGATTATGCGATTTTTTCCCCCTTTTGCAGTGTTTGCAACAAAGATGACTAGAAGTTGCTTCAAACAAGAGCATGAATTTGGTAAGAACTTGAAAATTTTAAGAGTTTGTTGTATAGGCCTATCTTTTTGTTGACATTGTTTGCATATATATATTTGTTATCTTTAATTAGTTGGAAAACAATATTTTGACTTACAAAAAAAAGAGGAAAATGTTATTTTGATTTTCAATTGACTACTTAAGTATATGGTTTTTCTTCAGAGAAGAGGCGTGCAGAGGCAGCAAGAATTCGGGAGAAATATCCAGACAGAATTCCGGTGAGGATAGGCATTAACATTTGTTCCTGTCTAAATTTCGCCTCATGCACTCAATTAACTTGTTCAGTTTTGTTATATGGTATCCTTTTTATAATTTTTATTCAATATTAGAGCTCTGAGATGCGAATTAATTCCTGGGTATGCATCTAGTGTGGCAGCGACTGCTTATCAACATTTCCATACTAAGTTTAGCTGTTGTTTCACCAATCACAATAATCACATAGCTTACAGCTGATTGTGATTGCTTAAAATGATGACATGCTTCTTTCTGTTGACTTTTTTCTGGAACTGGTAAATGATAGGTGTATTGGAAGGTTTGGTGGCTTTTACTTCAGATGCAAAAGCCCCATGCCTAGATCTTCTGAAATACTTGATTCTTTTGATGTCTATGTTTTCACTCTATTATTTTTAGAATTCCAAGGGCATGAGGCCATTTTGTAGGTTTGTTTTAGAAAATGCAGTTAATCACATTATGTAAAGGAACAAACTGAACTGCTAAAGTTAGGACGGCAAAACAAACCAAGTTTGTAGACTCCTTGTAGATTGACTCGTGAAAAGTATACAATCATTTGGCTTATTGGTTTTGCTAGCTGCACCAGCAGAACTTTGGAAATCATTTCTTTCGCATCCAACAGGGTGTCATTTCTGCACATCAGCAGAATTTGTTGTGCTGTTTCCTAAAATGTTTAAAGTTCTGAATGGTTTAGCAGTCTCAAATGTTTTAAGGATTTCCATTTGATATTGAATTTTGAAGCTTTTTAGAATGTGAATAACTTGGTTTTTGTGATATACATTTTGTGTTGTGAGAATGTAAGCAAAATTCTTGTCACGATTTGAGGATCTGCATAGCATTATGATTTGTGTTTCATGAAATTCGGAAGAAGGATTTGTTGTCTACATGTGAGCAAAATATAGCATGGTGACTAATACAGTTGTCCTGATGTGAATTGGGTGTTTTTGTAACTTGAATTATTTTCCATGATATAGCATCTGAACTATTAAAGCTGCTATACCTGAACTATTAAAGCTGATGTTAGTATGTCGTCCAAGAACAAGATCAAAAGCATGACTGTCCAAATTAGAATGTATCTTAAGATCAGATTTGTCTCCAAAACATGTACTTAATATATGAATACACCAATTATACCATTCATATATGCCTAGAGTGAGGCACATGTAGGTTGCAGACACATTGAGAATGCATTTGAGCATCTGTAAACTTCTTGAAATTGAAATTTTACCATCAAAATTGTAAGTTTTGCAAATCTAATTGCAAAATTAAACTTTTTGAGCTCAAATCCAATTACTCAGCAGCATGCTCTGTTATGCAGTTTATGATTAGAACTTGAATTCATGGACTACTGTCTATTAATTTGAGTGCTATCTCCTGCCATCCACGAATGTAAAGGTGCATGGTTCCAGTCCCGGATGGAACATGGGTAAAACTTTGCAGAAAAAGAAGGAAACCTGTATCTATGAGAAATTTTGAAATTGGTTGTAACCTCTTATATATTTGTAGATCATAATATTTATGATTGTGATGGATGATAACAGCAATCAAATGAGTATCGTCTGGAGATCAGAGTTTGCTTCTACTGATATTTCCTTTTATTTTAAAGGTGATTGTGGAGAAAGCTGAGAGAAGTGATATTCCCAACATCGACAAGAAAAAGTAAGTTAAGATCTCACGTGCTAATGATTTGCCTTTGATTTCTCAGTCTTTCTGTGTCTGGGTCATTCATCTTTTCTTTAGCTTGAGTAAAGCTCATGACTCTAAGCCTTGGCCTAGGCTTTCTTTTACATCCTTTTGATTTACTGTTGATAATAAAGACACCACCTTGAGTGTTCCCTCTGTGATGAGAAAGGTATATATACCACAGGGCTGCTTGGACAGTAATTATTTTAGTCCTTACATGCTTAAATGCAGTAAGTCTTTTCTTTCCTTGAATCTAATAAAATCTTCACGGATTCTTTGTATTGGCTGTCCTAATGATTAGGCAACAATTTACCCGAGTGCTGAGCTAACATTTACTGGCGAAAAGCCAGGAATAGTTTTCGTGTTTATATTCTTATTAAAAGTAGTGAAGCATTTTTCATTGACTTGAATAAGAAAATTACAGATACCTTGTTCCAGCTGAGCTGACAGTGGGGCAGTTTGTTTATGTAATTCGGAAGAGAATTAAACTGAGCGCTGAAAAGGCAATCTTCATATTTGTGGACAATGTCCTCCCACCTACAGGTAACTGCATTCAAGTTCGTCTTGGGTCATAATTCATGTCCATTTATATTTTGCAATCTTAAGGCAATGGATGTTAGATGACGTTGTTTGTCTTCACGAATTTTTATTTTCCTTTTGATATTGCAGGAGCAATAATGTCTACTATATATGATGAGAAGAAGGATGAAGATGGCTTTCTTTATGTTACTTACAGTGGAGAGAACACATTTGGATGCCAGATTCTTCAGTAACTCAAGGTTACCATAGTGTCCTCTTATTTATCATGTGTGTTGTTAATCATCACCCCCATTTTCTTATGTTAAATAAGTAACTCTTAAGTTGTACAGCTATACACTGTGAATATATATATTTCCTTCAAAAATCTATTTCGTTTCTGATTAATAAATGGTTCGATTTTCTTCAATTTGTGTGCCTTTATGGCTGATCGTTTCTCCCAAATTATGGTTTGTGTATGCAAGACATTTCCTTTTCCTTGGGTTGGCTTGACAAGGTAATCAATCTATTTTGTTGTTGCATTAAAAATAAGTCCATTGTCTTGAATTCCCTAGCGGTGGAACACCCGGACTTTTCCTCGTAACTGTCAAAAGTCTCAGTAACTTTCAGTTTATGTGGAACCTTTCAGTTTATGTGGAACAGAAGATTGTATGTGTCCGATTGATGAATAAATAAAGCAGAGCCACATGTGCTATCATTTATTGGGTAAAAAAGTTTCGAAACTACTAGAAAAGTAGAAACTAACCAAAAGTACCAAAGTCACAAGGTCATAAATTAGAGTAGTTTAGCATAGAAAAGGGCCAACCACCATGAATGTAGTCCCCTGCCATCTCATTAGTTTTTCAAAGTGAGAGAGCTTGATGGTCAAGCACTACTATGTAGGGCCAAAATGTGTTAGTAGATGTGTTATTTATCATTAAATAAAAAAATAAAAAGCGAAAACAAAAACACATATTGGCTATTAATCTTGTGTCCCTGTAGCTTAGCACATCACTTTATACTTAAATGGGACCCTCAAAATGTGTTAGTAGTAGACGTGTTATTTATCATGAAAAACAAAAACAAAAACAAAAACACACGTTGGTTATTAATCTTGTGTCCCTAGTTTAGCACATCACTTGATCCTTAAATGGGACCCTCAGACACATTACCATTCCGTCTTGTGATGGTTCGGGACTATATGGTTTCGGTCTATCAGAACATAATACATAAGGAAATATTTAAATAAAATTGACACATTTTTTTACATATCGAGTTGTGATTAACCAATCATATAGTCCCAAACCTTGAAAAAAATTATCCCTTTTTGCTTTAGCCTTCCTAGTTTTATCCAATTAGTGTAAATTCGAGAATAGTCACTTTAAGGACAGTATCTCTCAGGACTGCAACTCGGGCGAGTTTGAAATATAACTTGACATCAACCCACCACATGAGATGCTAAATTCAAGTTCAATCCTGACTATATCTTCAACCTTAACTATTCAATCCAAGCCCAACCCATCCTTCTACTTTTAAATTCGGACTTACAACTCGGGCTTAGATTTTAGATAAAAACTTCGTGTTAATTCGGGTTACTCATGTGGCTAATCATTACATCGAAAATTTAATATGATTTTAATTAGTTTTAGATTAAATTACTCTTAAACAATAAAAAGTTTAAAGATTTTTTTTTTATTTTTTATAAATTTTTAATAAATATAATAAAATTTTTAGAAAATTAATTCTCTTTTTGTTAACATACAATAAGTTAAGATTTAACAAAAGAAGTTACAAAAAAAAGAAAAAAAAAAGAAAAAGTAATCATAGTTTAAATATTATATATAATGTATTTAAAAGTAAAAATATATATATAAATAAGATTAGAATTGAGGTTCGGGTTAGCTTGGGTTTCTAGCACTTTAACCAAAGTTCAACCCTAATTAAATTCGGGTTGAGATTTTTTAACCCAAACCCAACCCTAATTATAAAAATGATTGCCCAAGCTCGAGAAAAATCGAGCTGGGCTCGGGTTGGATTCGGGTTATCCAACCTAAGTTGCACCATTGGTATCTCTTATTCACCCGACTTATATTGGATAATGACTTTATTACCCTTCAGAACTCACCACTAGCAAACTAATAGGGAGACTGTTAGTCTAGAGAGAGAGATTATCACGTGAATGTGTACAGAACTCTAAATTAAACATCCCATGGACATTTAGCAGTAAATCTATGGAAGAATGATGTTGCGGTGTTTAAGAAAAATAGACGCCGTGGAGACAAGGGTGCTGAGCAGACCGAGAATGCTAATGTTTTTGAAGACATCGTGGAGTCGATTGTCAAAACTCTTTCACTAATCCCAACTCAACATATATGCACACATCATAGGAATGTAAACCAAACCCATGCATCAAATGTTTTTGTCAAAATGTGTGTGTATATATATTTATATATTGAAATACTTGGAAGTAAGTGAGGTCAAAACAAATGTACCAGAAATAAACAAATTAACAATGTCGCACCAAGTCTTTGGCGGTCATGAGTCAGAACGTGTGTGGGACTAGGTTCACGTGCCAAATTCCTCTGGTCACGCGTGTAGGTGGCACGTGGCTTCTATGACCGGTATTGACGGTTAGGGTTCTCTCCTTTGTCCCTTCCAACACCAACATGGTAAAATCGCGCCCACGATTCACGCTCTCCTGTACCTACCTCTCTCTATCTCATTGGACTACTTCAAATGTCTGATTTAGAGGCCTCTTATGAGTGTTAAATTGGTTCAAATTCAGACTGCAAATTACATTCTTAATTATAATGTCATTGTAATGAACTTATATAAATTTTGTAATGCCATTTACCCAAAAATAATATAAAAAAAAAAAAAAAAAAATGGAATGCCAAAAGTTTTGGACTTCTTTATTTCGTTTTTGCAGGCGATCGTAATGTCAAGTCTCTTAGAGTATTTTATAAATTATCACTTGACACATACAGTTTCCCTATCCCACATGACAGGTGCAAGAGCCTATCTATAAATTTTAGGTAATTAAGAATGTAAAGTGATACCATAAGAAGAAAAGGAATGCATGCATTTTTGCTATGTGCTATAGTCATACTATAAAGGGTGTGATTTGGATGTCTTTGAGCTAGCTAGTTAGCTTCCATTTTCTTGTATGGATACAAATAAAAGTCACACCCTTTGATCATCACTTTGGGGAAATCAAATATGAATTGAAAGTCTTTCAATATTTTATACATACAAAGACCAATCACCCTTTGATCATCACTAGGGTAATATCAAAGTCTCAAATTTTTTTTTTTTTTTTAAAAGGTAAGTCTTTCAATATTTTATAATTCATATTATTCTAGCAATGTTAATTTGTAGGGAGGGTAAGGGACATATATCCTTGTCATATATTTTAAATATTAATATATCTTGCTGGCTCCAACTTGAAAAGGGTTTTTACTTTTTGATTTTGGTCTACAATAATAATAAGTGGGCAAGAGAAGTAAAAACAAACAAGGACCACAAGCCATGAAAATTAAAGAGCTAGAACTCTACACAAATTAAGACAATTAATTAATTAGTATTTGTAGTACTACTTCTTTGGTGGAGCAAATTAAATATTGGACAGGCTCTTGCTTTTTTGTTTTTCTTGTACTTGTTTTACTTTCTCATGCACTCCTCCTCTTGACCTTCCTTTGCTTCTTTATTCAAAGTAAAATCTCTCTCTCTCTCTCTCTCAATAAATTCACCAGAAGTCTCTGTGTTGCTTCTCTTTTCTTGGTGAGTCTGTGTCTCAAGTCCCAATTGATTGATCATATCATATGTGAGAGGGAAGAGACAAAAGGGACACCACCCATATCTTCATTTTTCCATATATCCTACTTCTCATCACCCATACACCTGCAACTTCTGTAAATTAAAGAACCTCTTAACTCCAACAAACACTACTTTTCTTCTCTTTCTTGGGGGGGCCATCGAGTACATGTATCTTTGCCGATTAACCAATTTTTAAACGCTGGGGTAGATCGTAAAGAGTGTTCACTTTCTTCCTAACTACAAATATCACCAGCTATTACTTCTAGCTACTACTTCCACCACTATACCTATACCAATCTAAGAACACAAAAGTTTTTTCATCACAATCTTCCATCTCTTCGAGCACTTAAATCCATCTTTAATTGCTTAATATGTCCATTATATCTTCCTTTATTGTGTTTCTTCTATGTCTCTCTTTCCATGCATGTAATGCTCGGCGTCTTGATGCAACTACTAAGATGCCTGAGAATAACTTTTACCTTTCTACCAAGGTTGGTGCAAGTTGTCTATCATTTTTTTTTTTTTGTTGTTGTTGTTGTCAGTACTAGTAATTAATTGATGAAGAGATTTAAAATCGATCATCTTCTTTTTTTTTTTGCAGAATGATGAGAAGGTAAGTACTGTTGAGTTATCAGCTTCATCAAAGGTGAAGGCTTCCTTGTCAAACCAAGAGAGCATGCCTAAGGAAAGTAAGGTTGATGGAGCTGATTATAACAAGGGATTAAGTTCAAATCCAAAAGATGAAAGAGTTGAAATTTCAAGGGCTGTACAAACTCATGAATCTCTTGCTTCTGTTTCTTGGCGCATGCCTCACAAGAAACACGGCGAACCCCAACCGGGGTTTAATTTGGACTACTCACCTCCAAAGACACACCCTCCTGTCCACAACTAATTGAGCAGCTGCCTTGCTTTTCTTCTTCTTCGTCTTCTCCTCCCTTTTTTTTTTTTTTTTTTTGGTATTTTTTTTCTTCACTTTCTTCTTGTCTTCTCTTTAATCACAGAGGGAACAAACTGGTAATCCGAAGTAGTTGAGCCTTCTAACCTTAATATATGCTCCTATGATCATTACTGCCTGCATTGACATAGTAATCTTAGATGATGTTACATGAATTTATGGATGATATCTATCGTGCCTTGCGTTTTAATGTACATTGACAATGTACTAGAAATTTTTGAGCATTAATTTATATATATACTATCCTTCAAGCTAGAGATGTTTGTTCATGACCATATATATAACTGAATGATAGGGGAGTTCAAGAAATGATATATGGCATTCACTTTTCATATGGTTTTGTCATTGGCAACTAATTATATATATATATATGTGGTGCAGATTAATTAATTGGTTCATGAGTAGTACTATGTTTGGAAAATCTACATTATGGGAACAGTACTTGTGACCAAGAATTATACTAGCTAGCAGATTGGTGCATGGGCAAATTAAGTTAATTGTGGAATGTGGTTATCAGTTAGTAATATTAAGTCAATTTGCCCTAAATTAAACTTCTTGGTCAGCTAAATTAGACCACAAATTAAAATACTTTTACCACCAGAGTGAATGCTACAAGACTGAGAGCTAATGTCGTTGATGGTTTAAGCGAACAAAGTGGATGTATGAGTGTTATCCGCTAGGTAAAAGAAAGAAAAAAAATATTATTATTATTGTTGAGAAGCCTGGTGGATTATTAGTCTAGCATGATCAACCATAGTCATAATTAACTTGAAGTGTACTCAACAATACATTCAATCATAGATCTATACATATTTAGGCCTAATGATGCTAAGATTGTACTATATTTTTCATTCTACCTTGTTTTTTTACCTTTTCTTTTCTTTTCTTTTTCTATGCTAGTTGGTAATTAACAAATTCATAAGACTGCCTATCAAAATGAATAGTCCAATATATTATCGTACTAAACTAAGTACGTACTGTAGTAAATTAGCAATTTTTAAAACATACCTTCATTTGGCATCGATTGGAGGACGTGTCATTGCTCTTACCAATATTCTGCAATTTTACAATATCCTCACAATGATAAGCTATTTATCTTATGTTAAATTGTGACTCGTGATTCTGTGAGAATATGAATATATTGTGCTTGGATGCTGATTGATATCATTAAGAAATTTGAATTTATTTATTCTCGCATCATTCATAAACCGTCTGATTAATATATGTAATGCACCTTTTTTGTGGCTCATTTCAAAATTAAGATCTCCCCTAAATTATGTACTTTGCTTTTGAAGGTCATTGACGATAGAACATTATAAATAACTCGTACCATCCTCCTAAAACTCTCATATTCAACTGGTTTTTACTGATCCCACAGTAATGTATCTGCCCTAGTCTAGTTGTGTTTGTGTATGTATATGTGTCTATATATACACATACACATTACATATATACATATATGTATATTGCATCTAAAACATAACCAGGACATAGGGTGCAACCATCTCGAGGGTGTTTCCACAACAATTAAAAAAAGCATGTAATTCAATGGTACTTTAAAATCCCAATAAAGAAAACTAAGAAAAAAAATGTAAAGAAAATGTTTATGGTGCAATGAAAACAAACATTCCGAATTAGAAACCTAAAACAAGGTGACAGGTCAAAGAATGTGGTGGTTCCCAATGGGATCGAAAAGGGAGACGAAGTTGCACACCATCAATTAATTCCCCAAATCGATCAGACAGCTTTGTTAAATCATGTTCTCTCCAACTTTATTTTAAGTTTACTAAAGTACAATTACAGCTAATAATAATTGTTTAATTAACACAAATCCAAATCCCCCACCTTTGTTTGGATTAATCTCTCCACCTCATAAACCAAAAGAACCAATTTGAAATTATTATCCATCATTATTTGTTTCTCCTAGTTAGATTACCTGAAACTAACCCATTCCTCAACCAATTAAATATAGTATAATGTGTGTGTAGATATATATATATAGATTAAACACTAATCATCGATGCACGCTTCTGCTTCGAAAGGTGAGTGTTTTTTGTCACTTTATGATGAGTAGCTAGTATAAGAGTATATGTTTATGCATATTATTCATACATGCACATTCTGTACAGGCCAAATTGACACATATAACGGGTGTTCGACAATCCCATGGAAATGAAATCATATAATTTCGTATAGGGATTTAAGAGATTAATACCTATATAATTGACTTTTGACCTTAATGCTTTTCACTTAAAAAAGCTGCTTTAAAGTTTAAACTAACTTTTGTTTCAGTACGTAACACCTGATCAGAATTGTTCAAAATGATTCTTATTATTATTTTTTTTTAGGTCTGTGTAGCCTAAGAATTAGTAAATGAAAACAGTGCTACATTGGCCCACTATTTCGATGAATGTTGGCTCCTATTTAAGAGTAATATACTGGCTCGACGTTTTAACCCATATGAGGCCCAATAAGCCCAATTTATTTTATTTTCTTTTATCTTCCAGACAATCTGGCTTCGAACATGCTCCACGATAGAATTGGATCAATCGACGAGATAGAATTGGATCAATTTATTTGGTTAGGAGGAGGTTGATCAATTTAAAGGCCCGTTTGGCACTGCTTGTGTTTTTAGTAGACAAAAAGGAAAAGTAAAAGCGATCACTTTTATTTAATTTATGTGTTAATGTTTGAAAATTGCATTTTAAAAGATTTTTTTGATCACATAAGAGTTTTTCTATTTATTTGACAAAATATTTGTTGAAAGCATTTTTTTGGATTGCTTGGTAACTTAAGGTAGTTAACTTGGTTTATTTATTTATTTTTTATTTTTTATATCCAACTTTTTTTTTTTTTTAACACACACAAATAAACCAAAGGATTCAAAGTTATGATGTTATATTTTTATTTTATTTTATCATTATATCAGTTTATGAAATTTAAATGCGTGAATGTAGAAGCATTTCTTTACATATATTTCATATAAATAAACAAAGGCCTCAAACATTTTATACTTATTTTCTTAAAATCAATACATAAATGCTGGTATTATTATTATTATTATTATTATTAAGGGTAATTTTATGTTCATTGTATATTATTATTATTATTATTGATAAATGATGTGAATCAAGTTAGTTACGAGTTATATTCAACTTCACTCATAAGATTACTTTCCTTCGTCAATGAGAGAATGAGATCCTTGCCAAGAAATGTAAAACAACATTTGAATCATGTAATACATCAATATGTAACAGGGTTTTGTTTAGAAGTTAAATTTTTTAGATTTTAACTGACTTTACATTTTTATGAAGATATTGTAAAATGCAAGTAGTATGAAGGGATCATCATACCATTCTTGCATGAAATTTTCATTTATAAAGTAGCATACTTTTGTGGTAGTGACACAAATGGTGAATGTAATTAATTTAATCCAAAAATTTTAGATGAGTGTGGTATTAGAGGAAACTAATAAAAATAATTACATGATATAGCCTTCAGACTAACTATTTTTTTTGGGCAGTAATATACAAGGCGTTCAACTACAGTTTCTGCTTTTGAGATTGATTTCTTGCCGTTGGATAAATCAGATTGTATACTAAATATTTGAGTGTCTACTAATTCAATTAAAAACCTACCAATTCGGTAGGAAATTGTGATTCTTTGAATATCAAATTGCTCTCAATAATCTATTGTTTAGGAAGAACTAATCAATATATTTGAAATAGTTCTAAACCATTATGAATGGATGGAAAAAAAAAAAGGTTGGGTTGAAACAAATGCAAAAACAAATTGAGCTAAAAAATTCAATAATATACTCAGCATTTTTTTAGTAGTAACAATTTAAAAATTAATTATAAGTCACTCCTTTTGCTAAAAATTCAATAAAATTCATTAAGATACATTAAAAATCTATTTTTTTGGAATTATATTATAAAAAGTAGCGTGCATTTTGTAAATTATGTGCAAGATTAAAAAAAAAAAAAAAAAATGCACGACTTAGCTAATGTGGATAGAGACCCAATTCTATTACATGCCAACCGATATAACAACAATTACAAAATTCTAAAAGGTGAAATACTGTTTACAAATGCATGACTACAGGCGAATCTCTTGCTGCAACACTGTTTACAAATGCATAGCAAAGCTACTGACCTCAAGCTGCAATCTACCCTACCTCATTTCATACACCAATCACAAGCAGCATTCATCAAAGGGAGAAAAATAACTGATCCTATCCTTCTAGCACATGAGTTACTAAGGGGTTACCACAAGGATTCAAAACCTGCAAGGTGTGTCATCAAAATTGATTTGAAGAAAACTTTTGACTCTGTTAAATGGGATTTCATCCTCGATAGCCTCAAGCTGTTCAATTTTCCAGAAAAATTCATTAACCTAATTCATGCTTGTATCTCCACTCCTTCATTTACAATTGCCCTCAATGGGGAATTTCAAGGTTACTTCAAAGGGAAGAGAGGGTTGAGACAAGGAGACCCCACCTCACCCTTCCTCTTTATCATTGCAATTGATGTTTTATCATCCATAATCAAAGAGTATGTGGCAAGGGTCCATACCTTCAAATATTATTGGAGATGTGATGCCCTTAAGATCACTCATCTATCTTATGCTGACGATTTGTTGCTGCTTTGCCATGGGGATATCTCTTCTATTTCAGTCCTGGAGTGTGCCCTTGACCATTTTTGCACAATGTTAGGTCTGCAAATTAATCTTTCAAAAAGCAACCTTTTCTGTTCTGGTGTGGACTATCACACAGAAGCTGCAATTTCTGAGCTACTTGGTATTGGAGTTGGGGCTCTTCCAGTGAAGTATCTCAGGGTTCCATTGATATCTACAAACCTAAAGTCTATCCACTGCAGTTTACTCATTGAAAAGTTGACAAGTAGAGTATTCCACTGGACCTCTAGAAGCATTTCTTA